CCAACTTCATCAAATGCTATCAGAAGATATTGATTGGAAGGAATGTCTAAGATTGAACGGATTTTCTGAACCAAAGCATCACTCCTAAGTTTCAGTTCCTTGAAACATTCGTCCGGGTCTGGTTGCGGAAGACCTGATTGCAAACAAGCAGCCTTGATTAACAAATAGTACACTGCCCACTTCAGGTTTCGAGAAAACTCGATCGGGCCAATGGGCTTCAACTCCCTCAAATCCACAAAAAGCAACGAAGCCCTTTTCAGCTTCTCCAAAAAGGTTCTCCTGGAAGGGTCCGAAGCAAATTTCGACAGAAAAGTTTCACCAAACCTTTGCAACAACTCCAAATAGGTTCGGGCAAAGGTCGTTTTGCCCGAGCCAAAGAGATGGGGGGCAAATGGTATGGTCAAGCGATAGTTGCAACTACTTGTTACACCCCTGAGTTGTTCTCTGTTGCTATGAAGATCATACAGTTCTTTTGTCACTCGAACAACATCTCTTTCACGATCTACCACAATAGACTCAAACTTGACCAAAGCTTTCCACTTTTCATCCAAACTCGCCATCGCCAAAGAGAAATTAAACAATCTTCTGTTTATTTCGGAGTACAAATATAAATGAATTTAACTGTTTGTCGGTCACAACAACAACAAGGAAAACAGTAAAGGATACCAATCCAACTTCTTCTCTTTATCAACTGATGACTATGTCATACCCTTTATGGCTTGGACTGAGATGACTACAACTATGGAAGAACGATCAATATGGCTTTTTCAACTATCGATATTCTTATTCTCGTATGCTAAAATAATGGTAACTCTCATAGGGTACAAGAAGGATTGGAAGGAAGCCAATGTTTATTTCACAAGTTTTTTATGCTCTTTGAGAGTATAAAGCTATTGAACATGGCCCATTCTCACATAGATAAGAAAGTTTCTTTCAGAATTTTCGAGAGTAGTCATGAGAGTTCCGAGCAATATAGATTGTTCATGAAGAATTTGTTCCATAGACGTCTCTCTCTAGATTTTCTGTATTTTATGGAACAGTTTTTACGTCACTTTTGCTTCATTTCGAAACACGGAACTAGAGTATGAACCAAGTCATTCTCTTCTGTAGTCTATTCAAAAGCTCCAGTTGAAATATATTATTTAGTAGAAATGCAGAAACCCGCAAGCACAGCACTGCTTTATTCTCAGCAATCATCAAATTCCTTTCTTACGATATCATGACAAGTAGCAGTTTATCACTAAAGCTACAAAAGTTGATGATAGCAAAAGACAAACCAAAACAAATGTGCTAAGAAGGATCCAAAATATCTCGTGGTTTTATCAAATCTCAGAAACAACATTGACTCACACAAGTGTATCATCAATACTCAATTTCTGTAAGAGTCAATAACTCCTGTTTCTTTCTCCTCTGAAAATAGTAGCATTTGATACTGTGAATTCTGTTAAGAGGAGAAAAGATATTTTCAAAAAAAATTCAATTCAATCGAATTGAGTCTATTCTATCGATTCTTTTCTCGTTCCTCACATTTGAATCATAGTTGAATTCCTTCTCCTCAATAGTCGACTATACATTTGAGGTGCTTTTGAAGGTAAACATGACTGTTCAGGTTTAAATTCTTTTCCTGCATCCTCTTGTACGATAAACTTTGTAAAAACCACAACTTTTAAAGATATACAAGAAAGCAAACTATAAAAAGTACAAAGCTGCTTTAGGAACTATATAACTCCAAGAGGGCTATTATCTCTTCCAATATAAAAAAAGGTAAAACTTTTAAAAGCTCTGCATATTCAAGGAACGATTTGTTCAGCTGCAGTTGAGTCCTATTCTTCTTCCATTCTCAACCAGCAGCTCATTGAATAAGTGAGTCACTATACAAAAGTTCCTTGCGTTAGGCACTTGAAAGAAGACTCTTGCGAAATATAACCTGATGGGTACACTAGTAGAGGCTTCCTTTTGGATATTGGTAACGAGAATCAAAGACAACCCAACGTTTCGTATAAAAAACGGGTCTATCAATAGAAGGAATGTTCATTTCTACTAGGGACAAGTCAAACTTGAAAAAGAAGAGAAACGCCTTTTTATCCAAGTTGTTCTACAAAGAATAAAAATGTCGTCAACTCGCAAGCAATATTCAGCAGAATAAGATAAAACAAGTTATCTGATTCTTTTGCAGAGTCAAATGTCAAATGACATTTTGGTTGTTATCCAAACCGGTAAAGGTCTTGTTCTCTTAAATATATTGGATCAATTTCGTGTCCTAGTGAAAAGAAAAGAATATAAACGTAGAAATAATGGAAAAATGAGAATCTTTCATCTGCTCTTGGCAAAGTGAAAAAGAAAGATGAATCTTGAAATATATGTGCAAGGAGAAGTAGAAGCGTCACCACTTTTACTGTTGTTATACTAGTCAAAACTCTCTACAAGTTGTTTATGAAGAGAACAAAGCGAGACCCTTGTAACTTTTGAGGTTCGATCCTCCTTATCGTAAGTAGTTTATGTACGAATTTGTGTATAGACAAAAGTATTCCCAACCTTTGGTCAGTTTTTTATTATCGTCCTGTCCTCTGTATACTTTCCAATTCTACGGTTGAGTATACGATTTATTCTTCTTTATAACTCGTAATCGAACAAGATTGCTCCTTGAGCGTATTTTGCATAGAAGGAAAGGTTCTAGCTCTCACAATGCAAGCCAAACAGAGTTAATGTCATTAAATTGGAAAATGACCACTTGCACCTCTAAGGACTTTTCCTAAATTTTGAGTGACCAACAAAGAAAGGTTCTCAGAGCGAGAACGAGTCCAAAACTGGTTGTAGCAAAACCGTTCTTGATTTGTTATCAAAATAGGGTCACAAGTATTCTGAAATTTACCTTGCAGAGACAACATTGATCAAACTCAACTCTGTTAAAAGGCTACAGTGTCGCTAGGGAGTTGCGAGGAACTTTGTTACGACACTGTTGTTCTCGTTTCACAAAATTACTGAGATGTGAGATTGATTGTATCTAGCACACTTATAGTTCCAGAAACTTTTTACATATCTCCAAGTGGAATATTTTCTTTCATAAAACTCACTAGTCACTCAAAATAATATATCTCCAGTGAAAGGAGAGAATACAAAGCGATCCTTCTCATAACAATCCAATCAGAAATTCAACACAATGGTTTGATTGTTGGATGGAAAGGAAGTTTCAGTGAGTATTGTCAAGGCTGTGGACCTGATTCAAGTTTGCTAGTGAAACTTTTCCGACTTTAATTTCTAAAGCAAATTCTTCGTTCGTTTTAGTTGGACAAGTGAATTTCTATTATCTACGTTTCTTTTTAAGCCCTTCAAATGTTTCTTTTATAACGATCCATCGATTTCTGAGCTCGGAGTTCCTTGTAGACTGTAGTTTCTTTTAGTATGTATAAATTTTATTATCTCTTTGGAGTTTATATACTTTATGCAAGACTTGTTGTTATTTCACTTCTGGTCTTGTATGGAAATTTGAGATTAGCGTTGTCGAGAAGAGAGCAAAGACAAAGGAATTCAAGCTGTGGTTGAGTTTTGGTACTTTAGTCAACTAGTTGTCTCACAAGTTTGTTTATTTCTATCGATAATTGTTTCAGAGCATTTTTGCGTATTCATTAGCAGTTGATAGTCTAATCTTGTAGTCTGTTGTTGAGAATCAGTCTTTGGGTTGATATTTCCAAGATATATGCAAGAACAAGAAACCAGTCAGACTCTCAGTTGAGTCTTTTAGTCAGTACACAGAATTATATTCCGTATAGTAGTTTTTTGTCTTCTATATGACTCTTTTCACGATGTAGAAATCGGTCTGTAACTCTGCAACAGGCATTTCTCAGGATAGCATAGGACAGTCTTGAGTCCATCAAACG